GATTTTATAACCTACCTTAAATAAGACAATCTAGAATTAAGAAAATGTTTAATATATATATATATATATATCTATATTATATACAAAATGTGATAATTTATTACATTATCTCTATTTATTTTTATTTAATATTTTTTAATAAATTAAAATATTATCTATTTTTTATTTATTTTCTTATTAAAATAGTTTTTCTTTGGTTAAGTCATTCATGCCCCAGTTAACACAAGCAATAAGGCTAGAAGGCTTAAAATAGTTTTTCTACAAATGAATAATTTAGTGTTTATAATATATTACACTTATTAATATGATTTACACAATTATATTAATTATAGAAGATTTAATGGTAAATCAATTATAACTTAGTAGTAAATGTATAATAATATAGTAGCAAATTATTGATAATTTTATTATAAATTAGTGATAATTTAGACAAAATCAATAATAACTTTATACTAAATTAATGATAACTATATAGTAAATTATTAATAACTTAATAGTAAAATAATAATAACTTAATAGTAAATAAATAATAATTTAGTAGTCAATAATTGATAAAATAGTGTATGATAACATAATAGTAAATACATAATAACATAATAGGAAAGAACAAATAACTTAACAGTAAATCATTTATATATAATTGTAAATGTATAACACATATTAGTAAATTAAAGATAACTTAATAAAAAATAAATGATAACTTAGTAGTTAATTATTGATAATTTAGTAATAAATCAATGATAACCTAATAGTAAATTAATGATAACTTAATAGTAAATAAGATTCATTTTAATATTCCCTCCATCCTAATAAAATTGTCACATTTTGAATTTTGTTGGTTAATTTTTTTCAATTTTAATCACCTATTATTTTTTATTTATTATTGATAAAAATATGAAAAATATTTTAAAAACTTTAAATGAAGTGGTTTATAAATAAATGTTTTGTAAAATTTAATTTATTAAAATATTTAAAATAATAGATGTCAAAGTTAAAAAATTTTAACTAAAAAATCAACTATGACAATTTAATTGGGACAAATAAAAGGAGTAGTAATTAATTGACAAATTTAGTGATAAATCATAAATAGCTTAGTAATAAATCAATGATAATTTAATAGTAAATAATTTATAACTAAGTAGTAATTAATAATTGAAAATTAAAAGTAAATCAATATAACTTAATGGTAATCATCAGCAAATTAATAGTTAATCAGTAATAATTTAATATGATAAATTAGAGATATAACTTAATAGTATATCAATTGTAATTTAGTAGTAAATTAGTAATAATATAGTAGCAAGCATAATAACTTAATAATAAATCAATTATAACATAGTTATAAATGCATAATAACATAGTTGTAAATTAATGATAACTTCATAAAAAATGATAACTTAATAGTTAATCACTGATAATTTAGTAGTAAATCAATGAAAACTTAATAGTAAATTAGTGATAGCATAATAGTAAATTTAGTTTAGTTTAATAGTAATTAAATTATAAATTTAGTAATAAATCATAAATAACTTAGCGATAAATCAACGATAATTTAATAGCTAATCACTAAAACACAATAGTAAATCAATGATAAGAAAGTAGCAAATGTATAATAGTATAATAGTAAATCATTAATGATTTAGTAGTAAATTATTGATAATTTAGTAGTAAATCACTAATAACATAATAGTAAAATATTGATAACTTAGTTGTAAATCAGTGATAATTTAGTTATAAATTAATGATAATTTAGTTGTAAATTAGTTAATTATTAATAACTTTATAGTAAATCAGTAATAACATTATAATAAATTATTAATAACTTAATAGTAAATTATCAATAACTAAGTAATAAATCATTTATAACTTAGCAGTAAATCATTTATAACTTAGTGATAAATCATGATAATTTAGTAATAAACTAGTGATAAGATAGTAGTAAGTGAGTAGTAACTTATTTGTTAATTAGTGATAACATTTTTTTATACTTAAAGTTACTAATGATTGAACCCTGGTTACTAGAAAGAGAAAAGGATTAGGATAAACCTACCATGAACTTATTCATTAAAAAAATTTAGTAAAAAAATTCTAAATTTAAACGAAACAATAATGTTATATTATATAAAAAGAAAATTATCTCATATATTGTAATTAATTGATAAAATTAATAGTATACCATAAATAACTTAGTAGTAATTCAATAATAATTTAGTAGTAAATAATTGATAACTTAATAGCTAAATATTGAAAACTTAGTAATAAATCAATGTAATTAGTAAATGCATAATAATATAATAGTAAATCACTAAATTTAGCAATAAATCACTAATAACGTAGTAATGTCACTTATAACTTAGTTATATATCAATGATAATTTTGTAGTAAATCATCGATAACTTCATAGTAAATTAGTTATAACTTTATAATAAATTATCAATAACTTAGTACTAAATCATCAATAACTTATTAGTAAATCATTAATAATTTAATAATAAACCATTGATAATGTAGTAATAAACCAGTAATGACTTAATTGTTAATTGATGATAAGGTTTTTTATATTTGAAGTTTTTAGGGATTGAACTCCAGTTACTAGCAAGAATGAAGTAAAAACTTAATAATAAATCAATTATAATAATAAATTAGAGTTAACTTAGTTGTAATTTGTTGATAACTAAATGCTAAATCACTTATAATTTAGTTGTAAATCAGTAATAATAATAAATCAATGATAACTTATTAGTAAATCAATTTTAGTTTAGTAGTAAAGTTTAGATAACTTAATAGTAAATTATTCATATTTTAATAATAAATTAGTAATATAACTTAACAGCAAATCATTGATAACATGTAATAGTTAATCATTACTAACTTAGTAGTTTTTTTTTTGTTAAATATTGATATAGAGCTATATTTTTTAATATGTCTAACATATTTAATTCATTTAAAAAATTATACTAATTACCATTTAATACTAAGGTATTGAGTTATAATATTTGTGGATATTTTTCACATATATAAATAATTAAAACAATATTCATATACCAATTACTATAACAACATATTTTTATTAAAAAAAAAATCAAATTTTGAAGTGAAAAATTGGAATAACTTTATCTATATTTGTATGTCATTGATTGTCTATTTGATAATATATTAATAGTAACTAGATTAATGTTGTATCTTTATTAAAATAAATTGTTGTGTTTTATGGTATCATTTATAACATTGATAGCAATTATACAAAAAATTATTGTATTTAAAGATAGTTTTAAAATGAAAGAGAAAAATAATGAGTCTAAATTTATTGAAAAATACCATAGAAAAATTATCTATTAGTTATTTTCTTAGGTACATAATATTTTAAATTAAAATATATGATCCAATAATACTAATAATAGTATGAATTCTATAAATTATAATTTTATAACCTTATCGTTTAAATGATGAATTTTTTGAATGACTTATACTTGATAAATAATTAAGTATTCATTGAATAATGAAATTACTCCATTTTAATTAAAAAAGAGTACAAATATTAAAAACATATTCACTATCAATTTTAAAGTCTAAAATTTAAAATATAGTTTACCTTCAAAATATACCTTTTAATAATTGTCTAAAATAGATCATATCTTATTAATTTTAAAATTATGATATTTCATTATTTAACAAGCAATAATAATATTGAACCAAAGTTAATTGAAAAAAGTATTTGAATATTTAAAGAACAACATAAAAAACTATTTGATTAGGATAAGGTTTACCTTTAAGTAAAGTTTGTTATTTAAACTCTTAGTATAACATATTTTAATAAGTTATGTATATTTAATTATTTTCTAAGAAATCAGTATTCGATACAAAAAATAGTTTTAGTCAATATCCCTTATAAATACATAAATAAAAATCATTGATTATTACATCAAGATATTAATAGTTTTTTATTACTTCATATCATTTCTTTAAAATATGTTTACAAATTAATATTTTTAATTAGTAAAATTCATGTAAGTATGCATTTTTTACTACAAAATGAAATTACAAAATGATTTATATTACATAAATAAGTACATGTTAAAAACATAAGTTAGTAATGAAAAAAAAAAAAAACAGTATATATTTACTTTATTTCAAGTAACAAAAACTTTATAAAAATTTAGTTTAAAGTAAAAAACGCATTTAAATTTTAAATAGCAAATAGATGAAAAGTAATAAGCTTGAATAAGTTCAGCAATAGTGAATTACCTAAAAAATTTATAAAATTGAAAATAAATATCTACCACTAAAAAAACTTGAAAAAGCTCTAGAAGAAACATAAAATAAAGAAGAAGAAAAATACAAAATTCGATTTGATTGTAATAAAAAATAATTTTTTATAGTCAAAAAAATTAAAATATATATATTAAAAAAAAGAATAAAGATGATAACTTAATGTTAAAAGACTTAAAAGAAAACTTCTAAAAAGAATCAAAATAAAAAAAAGATTAAATATTTATTTTTATTAGAATGTTAATTTTAATTTTTTGTTATATTTATTTTTTAAAACTTAAATTTATATTTTTAATTTAATTTAATATGATGATAATTATTTTAAATTTATCATTATAAAATATTAAAATTATTATATTATAATTATAATTATAATTTGATTAATATAGCACGTGAAATAAAATTAGTGTAATATAAATTATGTATATTTAAGGGAGAAAATAGAAACAGTTTGGGATATGGTGGAAAGATTTTCGGGAATGGATCCATGTCCATTTCAGTCTCCGTGGATTAAATGGAGGAAAGATGATAAACTCATTACCGTCGTTCAAAACAACACGTACAAACAACAAGAACAAGACAAAAACAACCCACACTAAAATTAAAAAAAGAAAAGAAAAACATGTCGGCTACACTCCAAAGCCCAAAACCCCGACGCACCCCCAAACTCACGTTTTCACGTGTTCAATTCCACGGCCACTTTTTTTATTTATATTCCCCACCCCCGAATACAAAACGAAATATTTTTATTGCTCCGAAAAAGATCTCAAACATTTTCTCTACTGTTTCTCTTTCCTCTTTGTCTGGTGTTTCTGTTTCTTCCTTCTCGCTTTGCTCCGTTCTATTGAAAGCTTTCGATCCCATCTTAGCGGACATGGGTCTGATCGTTTTGACTCAGGTGTCGACCGGCTTGAGTGTCTTGGCCGGGGCCGTGCTAGTCAAATCGGTCGTGAACCAGAAGCCCATGGCGGGCCCATTTCAGAGATGTCCAACTTGCAACGGCACGGGCCGTGTCTCGTGCTTGTGTTCGCGTTGGTCCGATGGAGATGTCGGCTGTCGGACTTGCGCGGGCTCGGGTCGCATGGCGTGCAGCAGGTGCGGTGGGTCAGGTTCAGGCCGCCTTATTCCGGTCCAGATTTCTGTACGTCAACCAACGCATCAAAGCTCCTAATTGACACGGTTTTGGCTCTTCATGAATCATGACACTCCCAAAACTCTCTCTTATATTGTTGTAATTTTTTTCGTTTGAAATTTAATTGTGTAATATAACACTGGAAGAGAGAAAGTTATAACATTGGAATAGATATGATTTTTCTTTTTTTTTTTTTTTTGTTGATTTTACCAAGCCAGCATAGTAAATTATGGAAAATCTGAGCTACTGTTACCCGAAAATGGAGACCAATTTATTTAAAATTTTATTTTCAGACGCTCTGGCAAAATTAAAATTAAAAAAAAAAAAAACAATTCTTTTGATGCTTGTAGTAGTGTTGTCTTTATGGTACTGAAAGCTTTTTGGGTGAAAGAATAATCAAACACATCTGGAAATGCAGAGAAAACACAAAAAGTTGTTTTCCCTTGGATTTTTAAATAGTTTTACATGTTCTCAAGTATTTATTTTTAGGTTTATATTTATGCATTCATTAAACATGGGAGGGTACCGCATTATGTAAATTTTAAAAATTAAAAATTTTAAAATATAAATAATAAAAATTTATTTTAATTTATTTTAAAAGATTTATCAACTTCAAATTTATTTATTAATTATGTGATAATTTGTGGTTTAGTGATAGAATGTGAGCATTTTTTTTATAATTTTTTTATTATAATATTATAATTATCTAATAACAATATAAAAATTTATGCAAGAGTTTATCACTTAAAATTATGAGTTTTATGTAAGACTTTATAAAATTTTAAATTATAATTAATTATAATGTAATAATTGTAGATAATATACTCACAATATATTGTAGACAACCAATGCATATAATATAAATTCTTTATTTTTTTTCATAAAAACTTAAGTCTAAAGTTAACATGACTACTAGATTGAATTTAAATAGTGCACTCATAAATTTGTTTTTTATCTAATTTATACATTGTGCTCCCATATTTATTTTATATTAGATACTTAAAGCTAAAAGTTAATGCAACTACTATCCAATCCAATGATTGAATTTCTCTCTAGCCTTTGCAATTTGCAATCCAGCTTTGTGTTCAATGCAGAATGGCTAGTCTCAAACAGCTGATTGCAAGTGACTTCCCACACTATAATCACTTGGATATAGTTATTTAAAGACACATAGAAATGAAAAGTTTGTTTTCTCTTTTTGTTCTTTGAAAAAACGACCGAATGGAGTCTTTACTTTGTCTTTAGTTTTTTATCTAATGGTTAAGAAAGCTTTAGATAACATGTAAAATGAGAATTTGAACCTTATCATCCGTCATTTATCATGTGATAAAAAAAATAAAAAAAAAAGCCGAGCCGAAAATAAGTTGAAAAAAAAAGAAGCAATTTTCTTTAGCACTTGTCTTTGACCTTGTCAAGCCAAAGTCCGAGTGCGTTGGAACATGGGTGCGAGTAAGTAAGAAATTTCTTCTTCAATAGTTTAAGGCGACTAGGTCAGCCGACAGCCGGTCAGATTTGCCAACATATGAATATGCACATGTTGCTTATATGCTTATGCCACTCCTTACGGTACGTTGAGCCGCCTCCTTATTCTATTTCTTTGCATGACTAAATCTAAATGGTTGCGTTTCTTCTAGAAAGAAGACGTTGTCATATTTCGGGTTAGGATCATCAGTAATTGATTATCGTCTAAAACAAAATTAGTTAAGATTTCAGGTAGATTGCAATTTGTGCCCATTCTCCTTACAAAAGCGTTGAATATTGTGCAGTATTTTTTGTCTTTTTTTTTCATTTTTGTTCAATCGGACTTCCCTGAAGGCAATTGAGTCAGTCACCCATGACGACAATCCACAAGGCTGTTACATCTTCAACAACAAATGTTTTAAAGTTGAAGCAGTTAGATTAAGTAGGAGGTCCAATGAGGATTATTTGAAGTGCAAAAATTGGTAATTGCAAATGACTAGATTTGATCTTTTGGGCAATTAACCCTGATCTATGGATTTTGTAACATTTTCACGCTTTTTGAGTTCTGATTACCAGTTTTTAATTTTCATTTCTTTCACAGAAAAAAGGAAGGACTATTTAGCCAATTAATGTTGGCTAACCACTTGACCTGAAATAATATTCATGACATTTGTACATCACTGGAGCACCTATAGAATACAAACCGAGGCAATAAAATTTCAACTGATACAGCATTCCCCCACAAGAATACATACCTTTCCATCTTTTACTAATTTGGAAAAGATATGATCATCAATGTTTCTTCAACATTTTTAATTGCTGCTAGGGTTCTCCCTTGTTTTGTCTCACTTGGGGGTGAAAGATTGAGATGGAGAATGAGAACAGTTTAGTCCAAGCCTTAAAAGCAAGAAACTAAATCTATAATTATATAACTTGTTCTTGTTTTTGGTGTAATTAAAATACATATAATTTAATGTTAGTTCTAAACATGAGATTGGAGCAGCTGTGAAACGTTAAGATTCGACTGCTACATGATTAAAAGCGAGGTTGCACTAACAGCAAAAATGGTAGCATGACCAGGATCGGCAAGGTGGGCAAATAAGTTGTCAATAGGTCCAGTTCCAGTGTAGATGTGTTGGAACCATGCACCCATCACAGCCAACATAGCCAATCTGCCACTCTTGATCTCTTTCGTCCTCAACTCCTTGATCTTCTCAGGAGGACCAGTTGCCCAGCCAAGAGGGTCAAACGGACCATAGGCCACCTGGGTACCCAACATCAGTCCCTGTGAGCTTGTTGTTAGGGAAGAGGGGGTCGGTGTTTACACAGCCTGGCTTGAGAATGTCAGCCCATCTTCTTCCTTCTGCCCAGCCGATGAAAATAAGCTCAACTATGAAGAGGATTGTTGTGTCAGTGAAGTATTCCTCTGTTCCAGCTGAGTACCATGAAGGAGTGTTTAAAATGCCAATATTTGTTAAGAACTCTGGGATGAAAATTCCAGTAGCTCCTAACATTGCCCATCTGCAGTGGACAAGCTCTGCTTGTACATTCCATCTCAAGTTCTCAGGATCAGATCCTGTTGAAAACCCCTCCATTATTATTACTACAAAAGAAGAAAAATTCACCTACCAAAAAATGAAAGTAACTTTTAATTATTACAATTAGTGGTTTCATTTAAATGATTGTGAGGTACTGCTATGGATTAAACTTACCAAGACCTAGAGGACCGAAACCAAAGTCTCCAGGGAGGCTGCACCAAAGGGATGCAAACAAAAAGTTAGAAGAAGGTTAGTGTAGAAAAGAATAGTCCAATACATTCTGGTATAATGTTAAATGACCTTCCATCAAGCCATCTAGAGGAGTGCTGCCTGGGAACCAAAGAGGTCTGTCGGGATATGCTGCTACACACACCGGAACTGTTCGTGCTCCAGCTGGTGCTTTGTACTTTCTCACTGATCTTAGTTTCTTCCCACTAAGGAAACAAGCTTTTGTTGCCCCTACTACTAATCCACTCTTCTGGGAACTGTAACATTATCTTACATCATAACCTGATCGGCAGAGCTATCTATTGGTTTATGAAACAGATCCAGATAATGAAGAAGGATTTAATTTTATGATGAATTCTGCTACCCTTCAGAAGTTAATACAACTTCAAATTTTTCTACAGTAGAACAACAACAGATGACTTGTCTTAGAGATGTATTAGGACAAGATCATAGTTTTTCTGATGAGCAAATCGCTCACATGCAGTCTATCAAAAAAGATGAAATATATAAAACTTTATTTTTCACAAAATTTCAACCTTGGGTATAGCGTCACATTGAAAAAGTCGGTGAAGACACAATGTCAAATAATTCTAAACAAAAAACAGTAAATATATCCCTTTTTACAAAAGAAAAAATCAAGAAATTTAAACAAAAAATCCTGAAGTTAGATAAATACGTATAGGCATCATCATGGTTACTATAAAATCTCTTTTTATATTTGGTAAAAACATACCAATTTTAGCTGTTTTACTTGATAAAAGGTTTAGTAATCTTGTTAAAGCAATAATTGGTGGTATCCAATCAAATTTAGTACAAGGAGCCATTTGGTTTAAATCAAATTATTTTATTTCTATTAATGACCCATTATCAGAAAATTGTCTTAGATTATGAATTAGAACTAAACATTTAGATCTTAGAGAAACAGTTCATGATTTGTCTATAAAATGTACTGTTGTCTATGAATTGACTAATCAGGCTACTACCTCTATTTAAGAAATTGATTTAAAGATTATATAAATCTTTGAACCAAAATCCTTCGATTTAGAAATTAAACCAAGATTAATGAACGTAAGAGATCTATCTATCCCAACAGATTGGCTTTTAAAAGGAATAACAGAAGAAGAATCTACAAATAGTAGAGTCAATCTTTAAAATTTTTTGCATCAGGAAACAACTTTTATTTTAAAAAACCTAATAATAGTAATATTAATAAAAATAGTTCTACCTTCATCTTCTTGATATCATCATACAAAATAAAAATGATGATATTGAAAGCATTGCAAGTGAACAATCCTTTAGTTCAAACAGAAATTCTTTTCAATCACAACCAACTTCTATTGAAACAAGAAATGTCAATATTTCTATATTTTCAAGTGATAATACTAAATATAATCAAGAAAACTCTATTTATAATTCACTAAACTCAGTTTTAAATTCAGTTTCTTCTAGAAGTACTGAAAGAAATTATATTCGTAGTTTAGCTATCATCACTCAATATAAAATACAAGATGATAAAGTTATTACATTTTCTAATAATTAGTCAAAAAGGCATTATAATTATATTAATGTTGAATTCAGATTTAAAAAGTATAAACATACTATTTAAATGTATTAATTGACACATGAGCTACTATATCTAATTGTTGAAGTAATGCTTTACCATTAAGCAAATGGCAATCAATGAAGCATCCATTAGCAGTTATAGGAATAAATGGTAAAGAAACCATCATAGGTTATAAAGCTAAAAACGTTCCTATATATCTTATGAATAAAAAATTCATAACTCCAAAAATTTTATATTTTCTTTTTATGCATGGAAACATGTTATTAGGAAATAATTTTTTAGATAATTATTTACCTTTCTACTTAAATCCCAACGATATGACTCTTACTATAGATAACAAAATCTATAAAAATACCATTAGTTAAATCTCATTAAAATATTTGTGATTCTAGCTTT